TATATATATATTCTTTTTTTACAGCTGTGGCTCATATTGTGATGTTACTGCATAAAGGTTCAGTCTCTCTGTCAAAAAAAAAGAACTGTAATACACGCTCAATAATTACATTTTAAAAGGAAAGAGACATTGTTCTTTAGCATTGTGTCCCACGCAATGCAGTGGCAGGGCTAGTATCTCTCCATACGTTCACTGCACCGTACTAATATAATTAATGTGCTAAAAATTGTCTTATGCAATGACAGATGTAAAGAATGGCCACACTATAATATAAATATCAAAAGGAGGATTGTAGAAAATATTTCCTGTAACACAACAACCTAATAATATATAAGAATCGGATGGCCCTCATTTATGAACCAGTGGCAGGGCTAGTATCTCTCCATACGTTCACTGCACCGTACTAATATAATTAATGTGCTAAAAATTGTCTTATGCAATGACAGATGTAAAGAATGGCCACACTATAATATAAATATCAAAAGGAGGATTGTAGAAAATATTTCCTGTAACACAACAACCTAATAATATATAAGAATCGGATGGCCCTCATTTATGAACAGTTTGTGCGCAAGACATGCGTCCGAACGTAAGATGTATTTTCGTACTTTAATTTGTGCGTATTCCGCGAACAACTTTCGAACCTCCTCAAACTATGCGTACGCACAAATAATGAAGGATAATTTTTTTGAAAAATATTTGGAAAAAAAAATATATATTTTACCTAAGATGTATGACGTATTGAAACTACAGTCATTTATATGAACACCACTACTATTTACTATTTAAAACGCCTTTTGTTACTTTAATCCCCTACTATCTGTTGCATGTCCTGAAAGGTTTAAAAAGTTATATCTTTCTTTCTTTCTTTCTTTCATTTTTTTTGGGGGTGGGCAAGGCTCCATGCTTGGGACTTTGTCACAAGAAGGTGACACAAATACTGATTTGTTCATGCTGTACAATGTCATGAATGTAGTTACTCAATTCACCATGTCCCCTTTGCATTTCCCAAGCTTTGCTGACTATGGCTGCATGCTGGAGATCCTTAGCCTGGACCTACTGCCAGATGGCCGCTCCTATGTGGACAGTGTGGGGAGCAACAGGTTCAGAGTTTTGAAAAGAGGCCTACGAGATGGCTACCACACGGCTGATATCGAATATGTGGAGGACGTCAAGGTATGACTTGCTCAAGGAGCTCCCGTGTCCCCCCCCCCCCGAGTGTATTTGGATCAACTAAATGACTTCCACCTTTCCGCAGGTCGAAGGGAGTGAACTGGAACTCTTGCAGCGTCTCCACGACAGCGTTTACCAACAGGCCCAGGACTGGTATCAGCGGCTTGGCGGCCGCATGAGAGAACAGATCAACAGACAGTATGGCATCATGCCTAATATTGAGGAGAACATTCAGGTAGGGGCTTTTGACTGAAATGTCAATCGACATTCGCTGAACATTTCTTAAAGCAATTAAGTACCACACAGTTAACACATACAATTCATGTGTGTACAACAATGTGGCTATTGTCAAATAAGCATTTAAATGTAATTTAAGGTAATTTTCATTAATTCATACATTTGGATATCAAGCTTCAGTGTCTGAAATTATTCATACTCTCTCAATAGAGGCCTAGTTACTGTTCTTATTAATTGAGTTTAGGACGCTTTTACGTTTTCAGAATCCTTGAAGGGTGCGTTGTCTTTGAAATTGTGTGATAAGAACTGACATCAGGCAATATCATGTTTCAAAAGTTCAAAAACAATTTCCCATGAACACGTCTTTCCGTCTCATATACGCATTCAACAAGCGTGGTGAGATTATGGAAAAAAATAATAGTCATGATTATTTTGATTGATGGTAAAATCCCGATCAGTAACCACGGTTAATCATTGATTTCAAAAGTTTGCATTCATTCAACTAACACGACTCAACTTACAGTATGACTTCAAATCACAACAAGAAAAGGGCAATTGAAAAAGAAAACAATAAATACAAATAAATAGCGGCTGTGCATGCTTTGGCCTCTTAGCAGTTATGTGGTGCCGTGTTGCACTTACATGAAAATAAAAAAAATAGAAGAAGAAAGTTGAAATTAGGTTTGGTCAATACAACACTTTTTCTCAGAGTAGGAAGAATATTATAAGCCTTTGTTTGAGTCTTGCTCGATATGTGCATTTCCCTTAAATAACAGCTGATGTATTGATGTATTACATTTTTCTTCAGGCCTCGTCCAACGGTCCAGCTTGGTGCTGGTGGCTGCTGTCTGTCCTCCAGCTGGACCCTGCCTATGAAACCACAGTCCTCTCTCTTTCTTCGCTTAAAGACCGGCTAGGTCACCTCCGCCTCATCCTTGAGTACTTCTCTCAGAGCTAAACACAGCAGCCTGGTGGAATTTGTGGGATAAAAGGCCGAGCGAGGGGTCAAGATTACGTACATACATAATGCTGTACTTGAGTGAAGCTCAGAAGTTCTGACTTCACTTATGTCAGTTTTGGGGCTTAACTACTCTGAAACACAAAGGGACTGTTTTTATGTCACACCTCAAGGCCAAATCATATGGCCAAAACCATAAATAGTAATTTATGAAAAGACCCTAAGAAGTTATTTAAAGCTTGCCTCTTACTCGCTTTATATCATTGTGAATACGTGTGTGTGTGTGTGTGTGTGTGTGTGTGTGTGTGTGTGTGTGTGTTATATATATAAAAAAGGACTGTCACAACACACAATCCCTGCAGCGTCGTTTGCCACATTCTTGTGTGGTTTACAGCGAAAAGAGGCATTCAACAAATTCAATTGAGCGCTAACTCAAAATTGATCCATGTTACGAATAATTCAGGGTTGGAACAGTACACATGGAGACAACAGTTTCATTAACCACGCACCGTGTCAGAATGCTGGCGAAAACAAGCTCAAACAAACATACTCTCCAGTTTTCGCACAAAAGACTTCCATCGACAAGCAGATAAAGAATGAGAATGTCGTGAATTACAGTTTCAAGTCGCAGTTGAAGAGCCGATGAAATTCTTGACACGCGAGAAACAAATATTCATTTCAGGACTGCAATTAACAGTTATTTCAATAATGGATTATGTTGTTGATTATTTTGTCGATTAATCGATGAATCCGATTTAAAAAAAAAAAGGAGCATGTTTTAATTTGCATCCCTTTCTTGAAAAACAGGACATTATTTCACATGACAGTTCACAAAATACACAAGCAAATCTGATTCACTTAATCGTTTGGTCGGTGATGTGTCAGAAAATAGGCAAAATTGTGATCATTATTTTTCAAATGAAAAGCGAATATTATATTACGGGGGACTACAGAAATCTGATAATGTTTACCGTTGAGAAGCTGAGATTCCAGGCATTTGTACAACTTGCATTTTGTCAATACAATGAACCAAAAAAATATATCAAAACGATTTATGGATTATTAAAAATAAATATGGATCAATGTGATGATCGATTAGTTCACGATTAATCGCTGCACCTCAAGTTTTTGGCTTTGCAGACTAATTGTTCCGTGCCCAAGTTGACCTTTTGCTTGTATTCCCTTATCCCTGGCCGCCATTTTGGAATGCAGCGTTTTGTACTTTGGAATATGAAACTACCCCCGTTTCGTATATGAGTGATTGTTGCAATAATAATGTTTGTGTTCTGTGTAAATTCGCACCTACTTGAAGGTTTTTTTTAATGAAAGCCAACAACCAGGTTGCTCACTCATGTTGTTGATCCCTTTTTGTTGGACAATTAAGATATCGTTAAAGAGGCCGAATTTGACAGCCTTGATTTTTTTTTTTTTTTTTTGGTGCATGCATTACCAGTGGATAGTCAAGTACAGGCGTCATTGTTCGAATCGTCTGTCATCTGTAATAAGGATTAATGTGTAGATTTCATTGACTGGCAACCTTTTGGTTTTACGATGACGCTATGGAGGCCAACATGCCAGCTCCATCTCGACTGCTCAGCGTCATGTACTGAGGGAAAACCGCTCGATGAAATGGCCATGGTCTAAGTAGCGATAAATCTCCATGGTGATAATCTACAATAACGCCGGTGGCCCAGTGTCCCATCACTTGAGCAGGGGCCTCTCTGCCATCATTCATATTGGTTTGGAGTGCCTTTGAGTGTGAAAATTCTGCAAGTCTTAAAGGTTGTACGTAACATAACATATAGTTGTCTTTGTGGCTTCATTTTATACGGATAAAGTGCTACATTCCATGGATTGTTAATTCGTAAAAGGCTTAACGGGCTATAAGTATACTTTTTTTTTAACCTCAAATGTGCCATACATTGTAAGATTTACAGAAATACTCTTGAGTTCACGTGTGTTTTGTAACATTAAAATGTAAAATTCAAATTACTGTTCGTACTGGCCTTTGTATGATGAATCACACTTGCAATTTTACTCGTTAACAGCTTCAGCTATGCAAGTGTGATTTGTCTTTAGAACAACAAAGCAAGACTTGATATGTGCTAAAATAGCATATTCTACTGAATGAAGCATCAATACAATGAAAAGATCGGTTGACACAATTGGGTAAGTGACTTTTTTCTCACACTGGCCTGAGAAAAAAAGTACCACTTTTCAAGCAGCAAAAGCAACCATAACAGCTCCTTGCTGACATTGGTCTCATTGGTGCAACACAAGTTGACGGTACTGGTGGCAATCATCCATTGGTGGCTTCATCTCACATCTGGCAATACAATTGAGGTTTTTTGTTTGTTTGTTTGTTTTTTTCCATCTTTTGCCCACCAAATGATGCAGCTTTGCTTTATTACACTTGGCCTCTCTTTAATGAATAATGTGCAGTAGTACCAGTTTTCATTGCAATTGAAGAACGCACTTTTGCGCTTGTGTAGGATATTTTAAGCATTTGGATCAGCAATCGCATATAGTATTTGGTGAATGCAGGCTCAAAAATGTGTACTGAACCCTTGCAGGGATAGCGGTTTCTACAGTGGACGGTTTATCATGTTATCAGGTTACAGGTTATCATTATTGGTGCATGAAAGGGTTCATTTTAATTGTCATTTTTAATTCCCATTCTGTTTTACCTTTACAGACAATCATTAACTTCCATGTAACTGGACTACTTAGTGATTGTCCTCGAACAATTTTAAAAAAATGTACTTTCACCTCAATCCATTGTACCCAGACACAGACACAATAAAAGGCACTTTCCACACAATTGGGATTTCTTTACAGGAACGCTTCTGAATAGTGGGCAATGTGGTCTCATGGGTGATATGAGTTTCTCACGGTCTCGGTAACACATGTCAAAAGAAACTACAAGACAGTTTTGTCCATTTCTCTTTGATTTGTATCCCTCCACCCCCAAACCAAGGTGGATGAAGACATTTTCTCTGATTAATCTTTGTCTGATATCCCATTTGCAAATTTTTTCAATGTTATAAATAAATATTTTTAAAGCTCAAAGTGGCATTTTTTGAGTGGGGTGAGGATGTATTTTCTATCACAAGCCAAATGGAAGTGCTGCGCTCTTTTGCAGTACACAGCACTTCATCATTTGGTTCAGCTGAGGACTGATGGCAGAGTATAAAAGGTCTCTCGCAGATCACCATGGAAACAATTATTGAGACAACTGAAGTTCTGCTGCTGTCGAAGAGTAAAAGAAGGAGAATTACATAATTTTTACGGATCGAAATTATAATTAGCATGATTACAGCAGCTAGCATTGAATGAAGACTGATTTGATAATGCACAGAGCTGTAAAATGACTGATTGATGAAACCCTTATTGCTTAAGACACATTTGGTAAGCTAATCATTCTCTCCTTCCAGTGGTATTTTATATGAATCTGATTATTACCGAACTACCCGATTTTCTGCATTTGCACACTTTTGTGGAACCCAGAGTTATTTCCTCAGCACAGGCGACACTTGCTTGGATTTGAAAAGGTAAAAAAAGTATAGTGAAGCCAGCCAACCACCAGGGGGCACTCTGTATCTGTAACAGAATAGCAATGCGCCACAAGTGCACGTCAATCGCCCATTATAAACTGTCTAATAATTACGCACGGCTTTTCCTAGATGAAATGACCACGTGTCATAAGTTTTTAGCCGACAGCAAGAGCCTATCAATGACACAAAGCAAGAATGTGCATGGTTTTTGAACCTGAAGGGAAGAGTGACAGGAGAACATGTGAGTAGGTGTGCGTGATCCACACGTCTCAATGAACAAGGAGCAAAGCAGTACAGCACAAAGTGTTTCCAGCCAAACATCCTCTGCATAGGAAGCAGGCAAATGACAAAGACGTGTCACTAGCGTCTATGAGGCTCTGTAAAGCAGCTCAGCATCGACATCAAAGGCCATTACATTTGAAGAAAACTGCAGCTTTTCTCCACTAAATTGATCCATCGGCTTGTGCTGACTCCCTGCTAGTGTATGCTATGAGTAAGGATGACAGGCGTTTTGTAGGAGTTATTGCAAAGAGGGGAATTACTCTGTGTGCATGCTGAAATGTGTTTTGGGCTATGTGTGTTGTTGCAGTCCTGCTGTTAAGCAGGCAACATTTTTCTCAAAGAGACAGAAATGAGGAAGAAATCTTCCCCAGAGGGGATATTTTGGATTGGGATGGAATTGGTGGGTGGCAGATTTATGTCAGATTGTCAATTGCAAGAGACTGTTTTCAATCACGGCCCCGAAAAGCAAAAGAATATTGACTAATTATTTGACGTAATTATGGCACAACTCACTCGGGTGTGTCTACAGAAATTGATGAGGCTGCTCTCAGCCTTAAAGCAAGAAAGCAACACAGCAGCAGAAGAAAAACAAATGTAACACTGTTGTCATAGGAACACATCCTGGCCCTCAAATGCTGAATGTCACCTGTGGGTTGACCATTATAATTAAACATTGGACAAACTTTGTATTTGAAGTGAGAATTATTTTCCCTTTCCACAGTAAAGAAAGTGACACCCGGGACTTGAATTATTCAAGATACAAGAGGTGTGTTATAAAGGGGTGGGGGAAGAGGCTCAGTTTGGCTGATGTTTGTTTTTTTGGTTTGTAAACTCAAAGAAGCTGAATTTCCTAAATTGTTAAGATATGTCTACAATCGTTGAAAATAATCTATTTGTCTATTCTATTTGCATGTGAATGTGACAAAATAAGCCACTGCTGCAACGTTGACTCAGGGAATGTGGGCTAAAGGGATTAAAAAAAAAATAAACAAGTTCGGATTTGTTCTGCTTGAAAAAAAACAAAAAAACAAATAAAAAATAAAAATGCAGTGGATCAAGATTGCCTGCTGAGAGATGGAGTGAAGGGGAAACAGGAAGCAGTGTGGCGCTGCTGGAGACATGAAGTAGTGCAACCGGCTTGCTGGTTGAGAGCGTTACCTCCTGCGGTGACACACACCTGGCTGTTGGGCTTCTTTCATTTGGAAATAACACTTGCATGTATCAAGTGCGCGTGCGTTGCCAAATATCGAGTATCTGAAGGGCAAAGAGGCAGATGCAGCCACTTGTAATGACTCCATGTGAGATGTTTGAAATGTGTCAAAACAATACCCCCAGAGTTAATACATGATCCCTGTCTACAAAAAAAAAACATTTTATTTTACCGAGTAACTACCTAAAGAATTGCCCGTCTTTTTCTAATTCCAAATCCGCTGTAAAGGTTTCTCGTGAAAAATATAATCTCAAATAGCAATAAAATGCTTGACATTTTCCCTAAAAAGAGTTTATTGAATTGTTTGTAAACTTGACCTTTTGCCTGCAGTCGAATGCTGACATTATCAGCCTCATAATATGCACTTACACTTTATGGACACAACTCCGAATCAATTAAGTAATCAATAAGGTTTAGCCAGACCTCTTACTAGCCCCCACTTTGAACAATCACGTGGATCCAACTTTACTTCGGTGCGCATAAACGTCTTTGGCGACGTGATTGGCCTCAACATCAACAAAACGCCTTCTGAATGAAGTAGAAGAGACATTGCAGGCCCAACAACTTTGACTTAGTCGTTGGAGCCAAACGTATTTTAGCACTTAGTTAATAAGTGAATGCGTTTTCAAGGAGTGTAGTGTCGAAGAATTGTACCATTCAGATCAGCTCAGCCAAGTTCTCAAAGATAAGAAATGCCATACCAACGTTTATTATGTATAACCATCATTTTCAATTTAAAAGTATACTCTGTAGTATTGAGATGAGGTGACTAACTGAGTCATTGACTATTCAAGTTGTTTGCCTTCAGGAAGTCTGAGTTGCTTCGGTTGTATGTTGAAGGATTTTATTTAATTTTTTTACTGGCCACATAAGTGATCTGATCTCAACCGAATGGACTTTTTCACTCACTGAATACAAAAGAAAGGGCAGGAAAACAAGCAGTCGTGTGAAGGTCAATGCAATGAAGGTCTGGCAAAACTCTCCAATTTGGTGAATGTGGAAAATATGTCATATTGCTGTGGCAAAGTTGATCGAGCTTTCCTGTGCTTGAATTGTTTCGCTGGATTGAACTGTTGGGGGAGAGTCGGCCTTTCTCTTCCTCCGCGTGTTCGTTAATTTTGGATGATGAGGATGTCGGTTATCCAAATACAGGCTGGAGACGATGAACAGTGCCTTCGAAGGTTTTATTTTTCTTTTCTGCAGTTTACGAATCGATTCGGGCTCCTGAGAGTTTCAGATTTCGTCAGGAACCCAGAAAAAATACAGTTATGAGAATATATAGAGACAATATAATAATGAGAGGCGGGGAGTTACGCCTCCATGCAAATCCTGGAAACAAAGAAAGGTCGATGCAATCCGATTTTGGCATGTTGGGAAAGTCCAGACCTCTCCCGCTGTGCGTAAATCTTGAGATAAGAGTCCCTCCCCGGGGGAACTTGACGGCCTTCAGGGACTCTCCCGAGGTGGGGGTCAAGGGGCACGAAAAGTGATTGTAATCACAGTAAGCACGAAATACCTTCAACAGCATTCTACATTCTTTGTTTCAAGTTTTTGAACAAAACCAACAACAGAGAGGGGCTAAAAAAATCACAATAAGGAATATATTCCTGAACAGAACCTTGTTGTCATGTAAACTCTTAATAGTGTCACTTCTCTCTTCTGCAGTCATTCCCATGAGTTGTCTTCACTGAAAATTACCTCAATACTTAACCCATTTAATCCCAAATTTTTCCCAGACATTTAAAAGTCAAAAT